GGTCCGGTAGCTCTGCCCCTTCTCATCTTACGCATTGCCTCCATGACTTCATCGATCTCAATGTCCCTACAATTACTTAATTCATGGGTACTGTCGGCATTCCTCAATTCCCCAAGTATAATATCCTGATCCCCTTCTTCACTTAGAAGTTTATGAAAGTAGGTCTGCCACCTCCTCTTAATCTGGTCATCTCCCATCAAAAATTTGCCGTCATCTTTTAAGCATATGGAGTAAACATGTATGAAATGACAGGCAACATGTTTCTTTTTGAATTTCCAAACAGATTCATGGCGGAGCAGATTATGCAAGGAGAATATGGAGTTGGAAAAAGTTCAAGCTTCATCTGGAATGGTGGAGTCATATTGCTGGATGCATTCCAAACTCACAAATTGAGGAAACATGCTGGATTAGAGCCATGGGGATTTCTTTACAACTGTGGTCACAAAAGATCTTCAAAGAAATAGGAGATCTCTGTGGGGGATGGATAGCTACTGAAGAAGAAACTGATCTCAAAAATCATCTTAAGTGGGCAAGAATTAAAATTGTTGGTGATGGCAGAAAGACTCCCAATGAGGTTGGGATTGAATGTGACGGTATCAAATTTTTCATCCCAATCTGGGCTGAAAGATAGACAAGATATGAGCTGAAGTTGCAAGAAAACGAACAATGTTTTGAAATAGAGAGATATTTGAACAATCTAGTGGGGTGCTCCATATTGCAAAACACTGATAAAGGTAAGGCAAATGTGCAACTTACACAAGGTTCGAGTTCGATGAATCAGAGCAGTAAAGCAACAAACAACGAGCTGAAATCTTATGACTCCGACTTGGCTGCACAAGTCATTTTTAATGATCTCTCGTGTGAGCTTTCTGATGATATTAGGCTGAAACATTGCTTTGAGGAAATGGGAGGACCTTCTTACCTGGGGGCAAAAGAGTTCACTCCAGGGGACTCAATCCCCAATGAAAACCTTGAAAGTATGACAAAGGCAACACTTAACAGTTGTAGCCAGCCAGAAGGTGGAGCAGAGATAACAAGACTGGAACAGAAGGCAGGGGAGCAGAGCACAAACACAAAAATGGGGGAAGATCAAGCTAGAAGTACTCTGGAACAACTAAAACACTTTAGCTCTATCCAAGATTAGGTAATTGAGGAGGTGAATCCTATAGCAGTTCAGCAACACAATCCATTAATGGATAAAGACATGGATGCAACACTATGAGTCCATCAAAATATGATCAAAATGGGGAAAATGTTTGGAGTAGATTTTCAAGGCCATGAAGAAGAAGCTTTGGAGTTGTTAATGCAAATTGACAGTTGTAGACATGTTAGAAGAGTGGAGACAGAGTTGGAGGTGAAGAAACAAAGATCCAAAGGATCACTGGAATTAAAAGGTTTAACTTCTTTTGATGTCAAATTCAAGAGTGACGGGAAAAGGAGTAGGGGAAGAGATCTATCAATCATTCCAATATGAAGATAAAAGTAATTTCCTGGAATGTAAGGGGATTAAACGACAAGAAGAAAATGGAGTTCATAAAAAGTCAAGTACAAAACTGGAGGGCAGACATTATATGCATGCAAGAGACAAAAGTGGAGGGGGAGATTAAGGAAATAGTCAGTCAAATATGGGGTGGTAGATGGGTGAGGTATGCAAGTTTAGAAGCTAGCGGCACGAGAGGGGGGGATTTTGTTATTATGGGATTGCAGAGTATGGAAAGGGGAGGTGTTTCAGACTGGTGCATACACTTTGACTTGCAAGTTCGAGGCTCTTTTACAGAATTTTCAATGTCACATAACAGGAGTGTATGCTCCAAATTGTAGAATAGAAAGGAAAATAGTATGGAGAGAAATTGGTGCAGTGAGGGGATTGATGGAAGGTCCTTGGGCGGTCTGTGGCGACTTTAACGTTACAAGGTACCCTTCTGAAAAAAGGGAATGTTCAAGGAGGTCCAAAGCGATGGTGGAATTCTCGGATTTTATAGAAGATATAGAGTTGATAGATCTACGACTTGAAGGAGGCAACTATACCTGGTTCAAAGGGGACAATCATACAGCCGCTTCAAGAATCGATAGATTTCTCATTTCAGAAGAATGAGATGAAAACTTCAGAAACATCAAGCAAACTATCCAACAAAGGTTGATTTCGGATCATTCACCTATGGCTTTATACTGTGGTGCGTGGAATCAAGCTAAATCATATTTTAAGTTTGAAAATTGGTGGTTGAATGTGGAAGGATTTGATGACAGAATTAGAGACTGGTGGACATCTTTTGAATTCTCAGGAAGACCAGATTACATTTTAGCTTGCAAGTTAAAAGCTCTCAAGGGCAAGCTAAAAGAGTGGAGCAGAGTTTATGAAGGTAATTTGGGACTGCAAAAATCAAAATTGCTAAGTCAACTAGCAGGTTTTGAGACAACACAACAACTAAGAATGCTGACAGAGGAGGAATCAGTGAGGAAAGCAGCTACTCTAATGGAGATTGAGGAACAACTCAAGAATGAAGAAATTGCATGGAGACAAAACTCAAGAGCTCTGTGGCTCAAAGAAGGGGACAGGAATACAAAATTTTTCCATCGTACTGCAAATGCACACAAGAGAAACAACAATATTGATCAATTAATGATACGACAGGAAGTAGTCAAGGATCCCGACAGAATAGAGGTTGAGATAACTGAATTCTACAATGAGTTATACAAAGAACCTGAAGAGTGGAGACCAACGGTCAACTTCGAAAATAGCTCAAGAATTTCTGAATCAGAAAGGGAGTTCTTATAGAGTAACTTTGAGGAACAAGAAGTTGTGACCTGTCTGAAGATGTGTGCAAGTGACAAGGCCCCAGGTCCGGATGGATACACAATGGGTTTTTTCAGAAAGTGTTGGGACATTTTGAAGGAAGACATCATGGCAGCCTTCAACAACTTCTATTCTCAGGAGATGTTTGAGAAAAGCTTCAATGCAACATATATAGCTTTGATTCCAAAGAAGACAGGTGCGAAAGAATTGAGAGATTTCAGACCGATCAGTCTGATAGGGAGCTTCTACAAATTGCTCTCAAAAGTCTTAACCGAAAGACTTAAGAGGGTGGTAGGTAAAATTGTCGATGCTCAACAAATGACTTTCATCAAAGGAAGACAAATAATAGATGCTGTGTTGATTGCCAACGAAGCTGTGGATTCAAGAATAAGAAAGAAGGAACCTGGAATCTTATGCAAATTAGATATTGAGAAGGCCTACGATCATGTAAACTGAAGCTTCCTACTAAGAATGTTAGAACTAATGGGTTTTGGGCAGAAATGGAATAGATGGATGAAATTTTGCATATCTACTGTAAAATTCTCCATTCTCATAAATGGATCTCCTAAAGGTTTTTTCCATTCTCACAGAGGTTTAAGACAAGGTGATCCTTTATCTCCCTTTCTATTCATTATAGCCATGGAAGGTTTGAACAACATGATCAAAATGGCTAAAGTCAGTGGATGGATTAAAGGTTTTGAGGTAAACAGGAGTGGGGCAAACAATCTAGAGATCACACATCTCCAATATGCTGATGATACTCTAGTTTTCTGTGATGCCGAAAAGGACCAACTTAGATTCCTAAGAATCATTTTGATCTTATTTGAGGGAGTCTCAGGATTACACATCAATTGGAGAAAGAGCAATATTTTTCCCATTAATGAAGTTAACAACATGGAGGAACTGACACAGATATTGGGAGGAGAAGTTGGGCCCCTACCAACTGTTTACCTTGGGATGCCTCTTGGTGCAAGATCCAAATCAAAAGAAATCTGGAATTCAGTCATAGAAAAGTGTGAGAAGAAGCTGTCAAGATGGAAATCACAATACCTATCATTGGGGGGCAGGCTAGTTCTAATCAACTCAGTATTAGACTCACTTCCTACTTATATGATGTCTTTGTTCACAATTCCAGCAGGCATTTTACAAAGATTGGACAAACTCCGAAGATCTTTCCTTTGGCAAGGTAATAAAGAGAAAAAGGTATTCCATTTAGTTAAATGGAAGACACTCACAATGGATAAAAAACAAGGTGGTTTAGGAATAAGGAATTTGAAGAATCATAGTAGGGCTCTTAAAATAAAATGGTTATGGAAGTACTCTAAAGAACCCCAATCTTTATGGGGCAATGTGATCAAAGCAAAGTATGGTGAGGAAAATAACTTGGTGTCAAAAAAAGTCAGAACATCATATGGAGTAAGTGTGTGGAAGTCCATCAGAGAACTTTGGCCTATAATGAAGAATCACTCCTTCATAAGAGTGAGCAACGGAAGGAACACATCATTCTGGAATGATAATTGGTTAGGAAACGGAAGCTTAAAGGAAAGATACCCCGATATATTTGGTTTAGCACAAAACCAGCATAAGACAGTAGCTGATATGAGGAGTCATCAAAGATGGGAAATCGTTCTAAGAAGACAATTGAATGACTGGGAGATAACAAGACTAGCTGACCTTTACAAAGAGCTGGAAGCATTTAAAAGATTACAGGAAGGTTTTGATTCACTTTGGTGGAAGAGGCACAACATAGGGGTTTACCGGGTGAAGGATGCATATAAGATTTTGAATCATAATAATCAACAGTTGGACCCATGGCCTTGGAAACATATATGGAAATCAAATATTCCATACAAGGTAGCTTGCTTCACTTGGCTACTAGCAAAGGAGGCGGTATTAACCCAGGATAATCTTATAAAAAAGGGAATTTCTCTGTGCTCAAGATGTTTTCTGTGCGGGGAAAATGCAGAAACTGTCACACATTTGTTTCTACATTGCAAGATTACAGACCAACTATGTAAAATCTTTATTAGTCTTAGGGGTATTTCATGGTCAATGCCATACAGGCTTAAAGATGTCCTTTGTAGCTGGGAAGAAGTTGGAGCTGAAGCAAATAGTAGAGATAGATGGAGGACTGTCCCGACTTGTATATGGTGGACAGTTTGGAGGGAAAAGAACAATAGATGTTTTGAAGATAGAAGCAATCCAGTGCAGAAGATTAAACTCAATTGTATTCTTCTTTTTTGTTTTTGGTGCAAACAGATTTACATAGAAGATACATTGACAATCATAGACATACTAGGATCTTTCTAGGTCTTGAATTAGAAAGTCTACTAATCCTCTCCATATAAATCTGGTTTTCAGTGCAACCTATGTACTGATGTTTTTAATATATACAATAGTTACCAATTCAAAAAAAAAAATGTATTAGCCAAATGTGGACATGAATAGCATCTAAAGATAAAAGTATCTTTGAATAGGCAATCCTAGCAAAAATCCATGTATTATTATTTACTGGGTGACAATGTATGTATTATTGTTCAATATATGACAATCACTAATACATATTATGCAGACAATGTCTATGTTATTATTCATGCAATGTAAAGAAATAAGTACTATTCCTTGGATTTTTCTTAGAAGGTATAAACGAGCAATAAATGATCAAAGATATCACAATTCAAACACGAGTGCTACTCATTTGAATTTTGGTGGCCTTGTGGCCACTAGCGTCTAATTGGACCTCCCTCCTTGCCATGTGGGAAAAAAGCATATCACCTGGAACAAAGAGGTTTTTACGTATATATTTATACGCCGTGTCGGAAGTCATAAGTTCAGATGAGGCTAAAAGTCATAGGTTTAACACCACTTATATTATTTCCTCTATTTCTTTTTGGAAAAGACGATATAAAAAAATTGCCAAAAGCATAACTGAATGGCAAAATACATAAGTTACCCCCGAACTATGACCCAAATCCCTGTTACACACTTTCTAGGAACGAATATTACTTTACACACCCAACCTTTCTAAAGTGTATCTAATACACACTGCTTTGCCCACGTGGATAGTGCGTGTTTTTCCCAACAAATGAGTCGTGTGAACAGAAGGATTTTGTGTCAGATGTCAATTTTTTTTTTTAGTTTTTTAAAATTTTAAATTGAGTCATCTTCTTCCTTTTTAAAAATTCTGCCATAGCTACTCCTTGAGCTCCACCACCCGATCTCCTTCTTCTCAAATAGATATACCACGATTTCTTATATCTCTTCTCGTTGTAGAGAAGCTTAACTTGAGCTTTACCCATGGCGAAGTCAAATTTTTAGGAAGCGAGAATTTTTCGAAATTTTTTCCAACCATTAAAGCTTAGCTCAAGATTTTGCACATTCTTTAATTTTATTAATGGATGATTTTTTAAATAGTTGACTTGTGGCGATGACAGTTAATGGAGGTCAAACTTTTACCGAAGTGAAATGAAAAATGAGTTGGATCTGGGCTCAAAAATTTTGATTCAATTTCAGCGGAAAAGATGGAGTGTTGGGTGTGTTTTCTAGGGATTTTTGTTAATTAATGGTGGCTTTGTTATTAAGTAAAAGGTGGAGGAAGAAACTATGGTGTTTGATGGTGAGAGAGGAGGAAGACGGCCACGGTAGTTTAGATGAGGAAGATGAGGGGTATAATTGTAATTTTAATTTTTTTTAAAATGACACATGTCACTGTTTGATTGGTGCGTGATATTGCACATATTCTGAAAAACTGGTTAAGAAAAAAATGATGTGTCTTAGATACACTTTGGAAAGGTTGAGTGTGTAAAGTAATATTCGTTCCTGGAAAGTGTGTAACAGGGATTTGGGTCATAGTTCGGGTGGCAACTTATGTATTTTGCCGAATGTGAATCAACAGCATTTATCTGTTTCCACAAAACAAAATTAATTAGAGCTTTTGACTGTTATTAACACAAGTACAATTGTGAAGCTTTCATATACTACAAGAATATGACAGAGTAAGTTCTGCAGTAGATCTCAAGCTTGTTTATCCAATAACAGTGAAGAAATGTCATGATATTGCAAAAAATTATGGCCATTCACAGCTTGGATGCTGTATGGTTCCTTTCAGATGGGCCATCAAATGTATCCGCATTGTGTTTAGACATGGGCAAAAGCTTTTGCCCGCCATCGCATCTGCCTTCACTCGATAGACCTCATGACCCAACAAGCCCTTTGAAACGAGCGTAAGAGATTATAAATATGAAAAGCACGGCAGAGAAGATAGCACTAATGATTACCACCTGCACAGCATTAAACCATCCATCAACCAAATAATGTGTGTTTCCCATCAGGTATAGTACTCACACAATCATATTAACGACAGCCACCACAAAGTGTCAAACTTACCCATTTAAACATGTAACCATGATCTTTATTCCAAGAATATGGGATGTTCATCCCAAAAATCGCAGCAATCAAAGAGTAGATAGACAAACACACAGTTCCGGAACTGAGAAAAAGTTCTAACTGCAGCCAACATGACAAAAGCACATATGAGCATAGAGACAACTCTAATCGTGAGATTCAACGAGATTGAAAAGAGATGCAATGAAAGATAGGTAGGGGATTTAGATATTTCCAAAGGAGAGCACCTGAATGAGCTGATTTCGATGATTGTCCAGCTGAAATAAGCAGCATAAGGTTTACATCATTACGTATTCAGATGAATCACATCAAACTGAAAATTATCTTGGCATTTTAACTACCTGAATATTTATGTAATCTTCTGTGTTATCAATATATTCTCGTAGCTGCAAATTAAAATAGACAAATGTTAACTGGAAAATGAAGATAAAGAACACTCTAACATGTCACTCAGCACTGAAAATTTCCAAAGAACAAAATCTAAAAGATCACTGCATTTCCACCCATCTAGTAGACATGTCAGAAAGGCCATTATTAGGAACAAATGCTAAGAAGTACAGGAAACTGAAGAGAGAGGCATAGTGTTGAATGAAGGGATTCAATGAAAGCAACAAACACTAGTCCACATAGAGATCCCATTACTCGGACGATGGAAGGTCTCCTCCCTATTCACAAGAATCACAACCCTCTCACAATTACTTCATTTTTCAACATTTGCTTAAATCAGAATAATTTGACCTGATTTTTGTTGTGTATCTCAAGACTCTTTGTATCTTACTCATGAAAGAAAAGGTAAAAGAAAGCAATAACAATTCAGGGTTCATAAAGAAGGAATATCTATATCTAAACATAAGGAGACTTGATTGCTCCCTCCGACAATCTGCACTATTCAATCGTTAACAATGGAACTTCAGAGGCAAGCATACTACTACCACTAAAGACTCTTATAGCCATCTGAAATAATGTGGTATCTCTACTATATAAGCACATTGACCAAATCTAAAGAAGACTGTCAAACATAAAATCCACAAAAACACACAAGGGACTAAAGGTTCTAAAAGGTTTCGCCAGCTTAATATATCCAATTCCACAAGAGGGCAAAACTTGCATACCGTAATTAGTTTATTAAATGTGCTATCAATTTGCCCGAAGTAAGCCTGCAAGAAAGAAAAACATTTCTTGTAAGTAGGGCTCAGAAGCATGCTTTCTTTTTTCAACTTCTCCTTCTCTTAGGTATAACAAATGATGCCATTAGAAGAAGTTTACCTCCAATAACATTTCAAGCTCTTCAACATCATTCTCATCCCCCCGAAATGTTGCAATACTAGCTCTACTAGCCCTGGATATCTTTGAGCCAATGGTAGGTGAGGCAAGAAACCAACTGGCTGCACCTGATCCACTTACAGGTGATGCACCAGCCAATTTTCTTGACAAATAAAGGTCAGCCATATCACCATCATCATCCAGAAGTTGCTCAAGCTCATCTCTCACCTGCAATTAAGTACATAATGAAGATGATGAATCCGTGGTTGTTTAAACAAACTGTGTGGTAATGATGATGCAAGGAGCGCAATAATCCAACTGCAATAAAATCATTCCATTACAGATATTATTGTTAATAAGAGTAGAAATCACGGGGCACGCGTAAGTTGAAGCTATTCACATAGTATATCAAAATGGAGTGGAGCCCCAAGGCTTTGCTTCAGGCAAAAAAAGTACAGCACGAGAGGTGTTGTCAGCGCATTTCGAGTTTAAAAAATTTAGTGGTAACACCAGGTCTGGCATTTCAGCAGAGAAGAGTGACGAATCCCGTTATCCACCAAGTTTTGAGGATGAAACAGCAGATTTCTTGGTCATCAAAACAATATACCAAAATGGAGAAAAAGGATGTATGTTTCACATAATGGGTCACGATTCTATTATCTACATGTTAATCATGTAGGAAAATTTAACTTCTTCTTGCTAAATTTAAGATGATTACCAAGTTATTATTTCCCCCCTTTTCCTGGTGCGGAGGTGGCAGCTTCTAGAGAATGATCTATCTCCAAGAAATTTAGATATCCCAGCAGCATATGTTTATATGAGGCTGGATTCAGCGATCATGAAGAGACATTTTTAATGAAATAAAGCTATATTATAAAATGTCTCTTTTAACAAAATATCCTCAAAAATCCGAAGAGAAACAAGTTCAAAGGATTTAAATATTGTTCAGTTAGTTAAAACACACTAATAAAAATGAAAACGTAAATAAGAAAGTTAACGTCAATGTCACTTAAATAATAGGTAAGACATAACCTTTTGTACGCGAGCAGTCAACCGTGTCATTTGACTCTTTAATTTCCGCACTCTATCCAGATTACGGCTACTAATCTGCATTAAACATTATTTGGGAAAAATTACCCCATGAAAGACAGATAAAACTCTAGCAATTAACCTTCTAAAGATTGCAGACGCAGAGACATCAACATATATGTGCATGCAGGAGATTAAGGGCGAGGATCAAGAAAAGGGAACCACGTAACGAAAAGAATCTCAAGATTCTTAACATGAAAAGAAACATTTCGAACTTTCAAATGCAGTACAAAATCAAACTTGTTGATGTTAGTAGCTAGCATCTAAGCTATCCCATGGGATCCAAACAAAACTTTACAAGGACAAACCACAGGAAACGGACACAATGTCCAAGATGCCAAAAAACAGCAGAAGGGACTGAAATACCAAAAACTAAGAAAACAATATATATTCTACTTTTTTTATAAGAAGAAATTATATGCATTCGTCCAATAGGGAACGATATTTGAGCAAGAAAGAGCTCTTTTGGTAAGTTTCGTGAAATACCTTCAATTGAAATACACAGAGGCGAGTAAGGGGTTTTTTTTNATCCTATTATCCTTTAAGAAGTAAATATGACAATGTTTTACTCCAAAAGCAATCAAAAGTTTTCTGTGATAGAACATGCATATGAAGGATACCCATTCTATAATTAACAATAGCGGAAAGAAGTAAGTAATGAAACTTTTCTATGGGCATAGTTCAATCGTTCCTCATTTCAAAAGAAGTAGAAGAGAGTCCAAAGAATATTTCATATGGCAAGGAATTTACAAAAATAAAAATAACTACAATTTCTACTGTATAAAAAGGAATTACCTTTATGTTATTTACTGTTAATAATAAAGTGTTATCTAGGGTAGAGACAGTCCAACACTTTATGGTGTCTCGTTTTCTTTACCTTATAATTCCTAGTTGAATTTTATGGTGTCTTGTTTTCTTGAGAAGATAACAATGGTCAAAATCAAAAAGAAAGGGTAACAAAAAGAAAAAGAAAAAGCAGACAAAGAATAGGATCTTGGTTCACATAGACAACTAAAAAACTTGAAAGCTGAAATAGAAAGTTTCCAGCATACACATGCAAAAATACAACAACAACCGCGCGGTGAAATCCCAAAAGTGCGGTATACACATGTACAAATAGACATGTAAATTATCTTTTCGTTAATGTGTGTGCTGTGAAAAGTTAGGGATTGTGAGTCATCAATAAAAATATAACTGGAAATATAGGATAAACAAGGAAAAAAAAGAAAAGATAAGAATATTTACTGAAGGATTTTCCCTCTAGGGATGGAAGACCTATGTCCTTTAGCATACTGTAATGCAAATGTAACAATGTAAACAAACACTAAACCGATTAAAATTTCATACACAGACCTTTGATGTTAGCATGTCTAAAGCAGGGTAAACAGCAGTTTCCAATTCTAATGTGCGAGCAGCAAGGTAACTACAGATGGCTTCCAAAGCGACCTCTAGAGCTCGGAATTCAAATGGAGACTCTGCATTGTGTTTGGCACAAGAAAAAGAGTCAGCATACTTACGAAAAGAACATGAATAATATACAAAGAAATGAGAAGCATGAGCTCGAGAATCGAATATGAGAAATTCACAAGTACAGAAAATTGAGAATGATAAGACGAAAACCATCTTCTTCAGTTGTTTCAATATCATGCTGAACATTCATATCTTTTTCCTCTCTCTGATCTTCACGATTTGCATTCATTGGTTTCAGCCGCCTTCTAAGTTCCTCAACAACAGGAGTAACATTTTCGTCCAATGGATCTCGAAGAAGAACCTGTCCATTAGAAAACTTAGAAATAGTCTTATATGTGGGGCTGATTTAATAAACAAAAGTTACTCAATGTTTATATCTATTTTTATGAAGATAGTAAAGATGTATGTATGCGCCTCACCCTTTTTACAAGAGTATGCATTCTCCTCACCAAAAAATAAAAAAATTGGGAGCCAAGGAAGTTGGATCAAATCAGAATGGCAGGACCGAATCTGACTCATTTTGTCTAATTACAGAGATTAATTTTGTTTATCCCAAATAGATTTCACTCATGTGGCTAAAAATTAAAGGCCAGTGTACTCATTCCTGTTGAGTTGAATTCAGAAAAATATAGTACAAGCAGGAATTCTAGTCCTACTTGGGATCAAGGTTAATCTAGATTAAGATGCGAAAAAAAAAAACTCAGTTCTCATCTTTCCCGGATTGACCAAGACCTGAATTAAGATTAATATAGAATCACTCAGTTCAAAGTATGTTTAGATCCGAAAGTAGCAAGTAGGGTTCTAAAGTTGACTGAAGTTGCTTCCACCAAATATAGATTAGGGAGCTAGCCTAATCAATATGTAAGTATCATAAAAAGTGTTCAGAACCTAAAGGATTTAACTTTAAAACTTAATAATCCATTAGAATCGACCTTTAATATTTCAAAGCAGACTTTTTGTTGAATATCTACTTCTCTAATTAAATGTTGGAAAGTCTACTTTGCGGGTCTTGAAAAGGAAAGCTAAGCTGTCATACTTTTTCAGGGTTTAGTGGAACATGAGATAAAAATCATTTTTCTAGGAATAACTCTATTGGTATTCCTCTATGGTGGACCGGACCAGCATGTATATGACCAAATTCTGGAAATGAAAAAAGAGGACATTTGGAAAGAAATAACAGAAATGGATGAAATAGTTTTGAGCTCAAATGAACATTTTAATCAATTTCAGACTTTGACCAAGATTCAAGTAGGGATTATTTTAGTTGCAGCACAAAATCCCAACTGTCTCTCTGAGTTTTGGAAAGCATAGATTGTCCCAAACCCATGTAAACAAAGATGGTTGCAGCAAGATGCTGGCCAGTACAAAAATAAAAGTCTACTTATGATGAATTATCTGAGCTCCCTGTGTGTGAGCTTCCAAACACATAGCCCATCCTAAAATCCATATAAAAGATGAGGGTTGCTGTGTGTTAATGAATCCAATTGTGATGAATTTCATGAATTCTGAATTAACTGGAATATCGGCATCCAGGTTTAGTGTTAGATGAGCAACAGGTTCCATAACATTGTGGGGCCTGGAAGGACAAAGTATAAGCAAGGGTTCCTACACCATGAATGACTGTGGGTGAAGAAGTGATGCTACAAAAAAAGGGCTCCACATCTTATTGGACATATGAGATAATGAAACTACCACAAGAGAGTCATATTCGAGTAGATAGTTTCGACATAGGCTCGTTGATAGGAAAGTAACCAAAATTAGTGGATGCCTTAAAATAGGAGGAGAGACTAAGTTGACAAGGACAACTTTACAATCTTCTTACCGCAATGATATACAACATTTCCGTTACACTCGTAAAATTAGGTCTAATAAAGTAAAGATGCCATAAAAATATGAGGGTTAGAGAGCATGTGGTCTAGATGGTATAAAAAATACCGATAGTATCCTATAGAGATTTACAAGTTAAGACCAGTCAAGGTGATATTCTCAATGAAAGATCACAAAGACTTAAAACACATTCAGAAGCTAAATCCTGCTATTTCTACAAAATGCTTGTAATAGCATCCTGCTATCCTTTTTCCTATAATAGCATATGTAGAATACAGTTACACGTCCTTGTATTATTTTTTAAAAGTACATGTCCTAGTATTATTGAACGGGACAAGAGGAAAACGGAAAAGGTAGCATTTTTTTACTTCAACACAAATAAAAGTGAGCCTCTCCATCTGGACGATAAAAGATAATACACAAATTGTCGTTATCTAGTCTTTGTCCCCTTGTGATGTCCCAACTCCTAACTTGAAATGATGAGAGTCAAACATAAGATTTCGCAACACACAACAATTGCTATCGTCTCAGTAATGAGAAACTGCTGGCACAACTATCATTCAGCAAATTGATGGTATACTAAAACAGTTAAACCTCAAGTGAATTGGCAAGATCGGTGACTGCATCCTCACTTCGAAAACAAACAAAATGTAGTTCCATAGACTCCATAAATACAATTATTAGAAATTTAACTAACTTTGTAAAAGAGAAGTGCAGAAAACAAGAAGCTTTACCAAAAAGAACATAAATTACCTCTTCAGATGTAATAATAGCCTTGATATGCTGCCCTTAATCACAATAGAATAAAAGATGCAACAATCAGTAAACAAGACACTTGAAAATGAAAAATGAAAGTCAAAGTTAAAATGTCAACCAAAAAGCAAACTGGGAAAAAGCAGCTATGAATTGGCTTCCATCTTTTACCACAAAGGAGAAGAAAAAAATTAATTAGTTAATTTACTATAGTTATTTATGGAAACAAAAAGGAAACAAATTTCAAAAACTTTTGCATATTATCTCCTAATACAGAGTGCACATTCCAACAACTATGGCTCAGTGACAAAATTGAGGATGGCTTTACAATTCTCAATATTCATTTTGCTGCATTTCAACCCGTTTCATTCCAACAACAACTAAACCTCAGTCTCAAACAAGTTCAGGTCAGCTAATCACTGCCCACATTACTCAATTTAAATCATCGCATACCAATATTATGCAAATACAAATAAAAAGTGTTAGAAGCTCTGTATATTTTCTAAATGTATAAATCTCCGAAAGGTAAAAATACTCTATAACTAGAGGTAAGTTCAAATCCAAGTAGAGGCAAAAAAAAAAAAACACTAGATGATTTCATTCCATCTGCCTAAACCTTGGTAGGCTGTGTTATCCAATACCTGTGCGGATGGAAGGTACCAGCTACTCACTGGAATATAACCCGAGCACCGCCGTCATAAAAAAAATACTCAATAATTCGAGATAAGTTAACATCCCATCGGAAGCCAAAAATACTAGGATATTTCTTCTCATCTGCCTAAGTCTTGGTAGGCATACTTTCTCGCTATTTGTGCTGCTGGTAGGAGATAATAGACATCCAATGGAATATACCTCAAGCCAGCAAGGACACCACCATTATAATAAAATACTCAATAATTCAGGATTCAAGCAACAACAACAACTATTGTGTCTCAGTCTCAAACAAATTCGGGTCAGCTATACGAATCTTCACTAACCACATTACTCCATTTAAATCTATCTCATGCCAATATTATGAAATGTAAATAAAAAGTACTTCGTTTGTCCCAGTTTATATGTCATAGTTGAAATTTCGAGAGTCAATTCCTTAGTTTTGACAGGTGAATTCGGACATAGAATTTTAGAAAAAATTAAATAAAATTTACATGTTTGTAAACTACATAAAAAGTTTATAAGTAATAATAATTAACAATTCAAACTATTTTGCCACATAAATTGGGATGGAGGGAGTATTAGGCGAATAATTCGAGATTACGAATAAGAAAAAAAAACAAACCACCTCCAAATTGAGAACAATAGCTCTTTCACGCCCCAGAATAGTGGAAGGGTAAGATAGTAGCGGATCGATAATGCGAAGATCACGAGCGTGAATTTGCACGCGATGCATGATCGCATACTTATCAACATCTAAAACAGTCTCCAAACCGGAAGCATCCATCAGAAGCCAACTCCGTGACCCGGTACCTTTTTTCTTCAACCCGACTACTTGACTCGGATCCATCACCGGCACCACTTCTCGACCCATCACCATTAACCATTACCCAAAAAACCTCAATTTCAATACTCTATAAATTTACTCAACATATGCATATGCCAATTTTTTATTTTATTTTTTATTTTTTGTAATCTGTTTATGTATGATATGAATGTGTATTAAATACTTTCTTCTGTTAATTATTTTTACAAACCCTAATTGAATGAACTAATTAGGGTTTTTTAGAGTATGAGGAAAAGCTATAAGGATCACATCGCTATATATGCAGAGAGAGAAAGAGAATAATCTGTATTTTGATGAATGAGGAAAACTGAGAAGAAGCTTTATTTTTTGCTGTTCTATTGTTTTACCTCTTTTTGTAAAAAAAGCAAATTCCTTTTTGTTAGTATTTGAATTTCGTTTTCGGGCCAGAAAATGACAAAACTTGTCCCTAATGTTTTGGTAAGATTTAGTATAGCCACTTAAATATACTCTTAAGCAATTTTGCTCCTTCATGTTGTAGGTCACGAGTTCGAGCCGTAAAAACAGTTATTAATAATTGCATTAGCATATATTATTTATATCACACATCTTGAGGTGCGATCTTTTCCTATACCTTAGTACGGGATACTTTGTGCACCAGATTGCTCTGCTTATTTTATCAAAAGTTAATATTTTGGTCTTTATTAAATATTTATCAAATTCTAAATGAGAATTGTAACAAAATATAATAAAAAACATCAAGAAAGTTCCATTCAATTTCAGTTGCATAAAAAATTACACAAAAAATAGCAGCATTTGCACCTCAAAAAACTACATCAATCGTTAACCACCAATAGCAAAAATTAACCTACTTCGTCTCCAAATGTGAATTCCCATTAATTTTCTTTTAAAAAAATTTAATAACTAGATTTCGTTAGATACTTAATGAGTGGCAAATTAAAAGGACCAAAAGGTATATTTAAGGAACTATTTTAAACATACTTCTAAATATAAAGGACCATTTTTGTCATTTTCTCAAAATTCATATAAGATGGTCAAATGGGCCCGACTTCTTTTTATCAATTTCATTTGGAACCACAGTTTTTGTAGGGAGGGTATTTAAGGACTTAGATTCTATCTTTACTTAAGTCAATAATCATCATTAATAAATGATAAATAATCAACAGGGTGAGGTCAAACTAGAATCGGTTTCAACTTAATTATATAAGTATTTCATTTCAAATGAATGTCTTGATTTAGCATCTTGTCGTCTTCTCATATAATTGACTCCTAATTGAACTTCATATCTTGTCGTTTTCTTATTTTGTTGACTATTAATTTGGTTCACTATTTTAAAGTTTTTATTTATAGTCCGTTTAAGTTGAGAGGTCTCCAGTTCGAGCCATTAGTATGAAATGATCTTTATTACGGAATTTTTTATCCCCAAAGTAGTATTTTTTTTGCATGAAATTGAGATTTATCCAATCTCAAAGCGGGTACCAAATATTGGATGAGAAATAAAAAAATATTTTTATTGACTTACGAATCTTTTATTGTTTTGGTAAATCAAATAAAAAATAATATCAAATAACTTTCAATATCCATCTCTTTTCGTATTATCAAGACGAATATGGAACATGCTAAGACTAAATAAGCATTTACGTGAACCACTAAACTAAGATCCTCTCCACTACAAATATATTCTTTGCTTCTTTTGAGAGAACTCTTACATCAATCAATTTGTAAGGTGTGAGCGACTGGCTGTAGTGGGCACGCGGAGAGGTAGAGGACGACCTAAGAAGTATTGGGGAGAGGTGATCAGACAGGACATGGCGTGACTTAGGATTACTGAGGACATGGCCCTTGACAGGGAATTATGGAGGTCGAGCATTAAGGTTGCAGGTTAGGGGAAAGTTGTGAATATTTCTACAGCACAATAGAGTGAGACTAGCTAGTTAGGAGTTAGACGAAAAATGCCATTGGTCGTCTATTGATGTAGGGCTTTACCTGCTAGTTTTACTATACCAGCCATCTATTTCGTATTTCGTATTCTGTATTTCATATCTCTTATATTGCTGTTATTTATTATGCATTTTTATGGTACTAATATATCGGCTCTTGTTGCTTTTTTTGAGCCGATGGTCTCCTGGAAACAGCCTCTCTACCCTTCGGGGTAGGGGTAAGGTCTGCGTACATATTACCCTCCCCAGACCCCACTTGTGAGATTATACTAGGTCGTTGTTGTTGTTGTTGTTGTTGTTGTTGTTGTGTTATAACGCTAATGACAATCACATTTTTCTAACATAGATTTGAAACTAACATCTCAAGGTCAGTGTCAGTCACATTAATTAGATATGAACGTACTAAGAATTTTAGGAAAATAGGCATTCTAAGTGTAACCTAATGGTCAATGAGTGGAAGTAAAGATCGAACCCTAGCAGAGACAAAAAAGTAAGGTGATTTCTTTGTATTTGTTTAAATTTTGGTAGGCAGAATTACCCCCGTACGTGTGTTTGGTAGGTAGGTATAAGTGTACGGTAAAACAGTCGAAGTGCATACAAGTTGGCTCGAACATCACCCTCATAAAAAATAAAAATAAAAATTTATAAAAAAAAATAGAAGTTTAATTTTTATTCCATGTTATCTTGTCTAATATATTGACGTGATATGATAGAACGAGTAGAAGGTGCAATTAACTCATGATTTTAACCTGAAATTTTTTATATAAAATATACCAAGTTCTAATGCAGACATCTTCTGCTTCTTGATCTGCAGTACACAGGCCGACCTACTTGTTTGCATCAAATTTATTTGTGAATACAAAAATAAATTGCAATCACAATATAAATATGAAGAAACATAGTTTTATTGATAAAATGACACGGGTACAATTTTATTTGTTCCCTTGATTCTTCTTGATGATGTCCATCTCATTGAAGAAGTATTAGGCATGTGCCTAATAAGAGTTTTCTTTGGT